TATTCATGACTGAACAATAGTCGGAAAAAATTCATTACTTTCAAATTAATCTTTATTTTTTTTTTTCCTAGTGGTATAGTAGTTTTATTACTTAGATAAAGTAAATTAACTCGAAATAAGGCTAAATAGAAGTATGAGAAATAGAAAAAAAAAAAAGCGCGAATACGATTTATTTAACTAACTGATTGCAAGTACAAATATAAGAAAAAAAATCTGAAATTGAAATGACTGTAACCTAAACATTTTATAAAAGGTAGAGGTGGAGTGGAACGAAAATGAAATTTTAACTTCATTTTTAAATGCATAATTTTTTTTCTGTCTTACCTCTAATTGTCATGAAGTAATTAATTTGTTAATGTCTAGTGTTTAAGACAACTGTGTGTAATATTATCAAAATCTGTATAGTTCTGATAATACAATGTAATAATTTAAAAAATTTAAAAGAAAAGGAAAAAAGGAAACATACATTTACTCTTATATTATACTGAATTTATAATAGAAATATAATATTTCAAATTTAAGTAATCAAATTTTATAATACAAAAAAATTTGATTAACAACATGTGCATATTTATATCATAGCTATGAACATATTCAATAATAACTTTGATAGATTATTAGAATAAATATCTAAAAAATGCTCTAAACAAAAAAAAAAAAAAAAAAAATACAAACCGGAAAAAAGTTTAAAAAGTTTTTAAGAAGAAATACAACAAAAATTCCTTATATTACAAAATTGAGTTTTTTTTTTTTTTCTTTTCTCCTTTTCTTTTTGTAAAAAAATTTGGATGGAAAGACAGATTATAATAATTGCAACAGTAATAAATCATTTGCAGTTAAAATAGCAATTTGTAAAATGAATAAATCAATCATTGTAAACTAATATTTTAAAATTATTTTATTAGTTTGATTAATTTCATTTTACTATAATTTAGAGCAATGAGTTTAAACAACTAATCACATAAATAGTTAAAAATTTTTTTGAAATTTTGATTTATATATCTATAAAAAAAAAAAAAAATGTATCAAAAAGTAATTTTAAATTTTAATTTATACATTTATAAAAAAAAAAAAAAAATGTATCAAAAAGTAATTTTAAATTTTAAACGTTTTGTAATTTTGATAGATTGTTTTGTTAGCATAACATTTTTAACTTTTATCAAAAGATAACTGATAATATTGTGGAATATCATTTGAATAAATATATTATCTTCTGTGATCATGCATATTATCAAAATGATAGATAGTTTATCAGTAATTTATCACAAGAATATATCACATTTATACTTATTTATGCTTAAATTTATTCTTCAAACATAAAAGAAAAATGATATTTATTTATATTTTTTTTTTATATAACCTAAATTAAAATATTTTAACAAAATGTTAAGATCAAAAAAAAAAAGTTTAAAGAGAGACAAAAAGGAAGAGGGAGAGAAAGGGAGAGAGAGAGAGAGGGAGAGGGAGATAAAGAAGATGAAGCATAATCAAGAAAGGAGTAAAAATAATCGAGAAATATGATTTGTCAATATTTATAAAAATTTTTCCTAATTTTTGAAGAATTTTTAAATTTTCGAAAAATCTAATAAAAAAAATTTCCACTTTTAGTGATAATTTTTTGTGATTTTGTTTGCTTGTTTATATTTTTTTCTAGTTTCTTGCATATGATTTCATTCTTTTTATTTCACTGAAATTTCATTTTTTTTTCTTTTTGTTTTAATTATAATATTTCAATTTATTTCATTTCATTTCAATAATATGTTATCTTCTTTTAGTTTCTTTTTTTTTTTTTTTTTTTTTTAAAGATCTTTTCAGTTTCAAATATTTTTGCAAATCTTTTTTTTTTTTTTTTTTTTTTTGGTAAAATAGTTTAATTTATTGGATTTTTAGTATAATTTTATGCATATATGATTGTAAGTCACTTAACGTTGAGTAAAAACTTTCGCTGTGACAATCTTTTTGAAATGAATTATTTCCAATTTTTTTTTTTTTTTTTTATTCAATTTAAGATTTCATCCAATAATCAAAAATTTGAAATAAAAGTTTGATTAAAATATATTGTAAAGTGAATATGCAGAGAATTTTTTTTTTTTTTTTTTTTGTTTATTCTGACTTTTTGAAGTTAAGTAAACAATCGGTCGTTCCGATAATGCCCAACAATTTTCTTCCTCGGAAGATTATTTTTCAAAACTATTTCAGTTTTTTTTTTTTTTGCTTTATTGATTTAAAATACTATATAAAATCATGATAAGAAAAGTGATAAGTATTCTGATCAGTGATTAGAGCCATTTCTTTGGATAATTTGAATCGATGACGATAATTCGAAATGACCATCAAATGATCAATCACTAAATCGATATAATGAAAATTAATAAAATATCTAGAATGACACTTTACTATTTCAACTTTCTGTCCTATTTTTAATTAATTTCAGCAATGTGTTAGATTCAATTTCTTATGGTCGATGGATATTTATAAAAAAGTAATATTTGAAAATTCGATTAATAAAAGAAATTTTCCGTCAACCGATTGACAATGGAAGAAATTTTACTCCGGTAGAACTTTACTCATCGTCCATTTCAATAATTTTATAATTGTACGACAAGTCCGAGAGCGCTCATTTATTATTATTTCATTGATTTCACGCGCTTTTGACAGTTTCTCTTCAAAAATCTAAAAAAAAAAAAATCAAAGAACGCATCGCCTAAATTTGCATAGCATTAATTAATTAATTAATTAACATTACAAAAATAGTAGTACACAAGAATAATTCTATTTAATTACAAAAGCCAATTTAATTTGTTTCAATCAGAGAGGTAAAGAGGTAGAGAGAGAGAGAGAGAGAGAATTTTTGTGATTTATTTAAAATTAAGAGAGAAACCTCTCGTCTATGTTCCGCTTTCAGTTCAGCCATTTCCGCAATATGTTGAAATTTGGCCACTTCAGCTTTCATTGTTTCGTTGCGCTGCTTAACTAACATGAATTCAAATTCTCTCTTATTTTTGTTGTCCTTTTCAACTAACTGCTGGCGCAGTTGTCGCACTTCAGATGTAAGTTCATCATTTTTTATAGCTTTCTTCTTCCATTCTCCCATTTCACATTCCAATTTTGATTTCTCTTCATTATACTTCTCCTGTTGACATTTCCATAATACTTCCAATTCTGTTTTTTGAGCTTTCATCTGATTCAATTCCATTTGCATTGCAATGTACTGCAAAAAAAGCAATATTAATCAAAGATATCAATGAAAATTTTTTTGCATTTCACAAAATTTCAATGTCAAAAAAATATATTTGAAAAAAGCGACAAAAATTTTTAAAGCTATTTTTTTTTTTCATTTTCTCCTCTTCTTTTCAAACAACAAATAAATCAGAAATGATTGAAAATTAGCATAATTTACTCTGTACGTGAAATCATTGCCTTCATTGTCCACTACTACTGGTATTAGTTTTTTTAGCGAAACCAGTTGCGCCTTCAAATCGAACACTTCCGCCATAAGATTCTTGTTTTCCTCCAAAATTTCATCAGACACTGTGTCTAAATTTTTTTTCAACTGGTATGGCAATATTTTGAGGACAATTGTAAACAAAAAGAAAATCAAAAAAACAGAAAACTAACCTTCTTTAGGATTTTCTTCTAGCAAACTCTCTGTGATATTCTTATCACCTTGGTTGCTACTAGTGATATCACTGTCCTTATTACTTGTTACACCTGTATTGCCTTCAGATGTCATCCTAAATTCATTGTCATTTTATTTCACCTCCATAATTTGTTGAAATTTGATTTTAGAAACCGATCACTTCCTCAGTTTTTTTAAAAATTTTATAACTATCAGTAATTCTTCTGGAAAGCATTCATCACACCTCACAAACAACCAACCTTAATTCTGCGTTAATTCCACGTGAAGTAAAACGGTAGACGAATGAAGATTGAACTCAAATATTGAGCAAATGATCAAAATGAAGAGAATAGCCATATCGATACCTTCCTTATATACCATTCCAAAAAGTTGCAAAAAATTTTTGATAAGAAACTTTTCAAATATATGCAAATTTAAGTTGTATTAATTTTCATATTCTACATTTAATGTTTATAAAACATTATGAAAAAAAGCAATATCCAATGAAAAAAATCAATTGATAAAATTTTTCCTTTTTCTTCTTTTATCAGTTCATTTATTTTAATTTATCATATCATGCAATTTTTGAAGTAAAATTATGAATTTTCTTCTTATAATCTCAGAAAGAAAGAATTAATTAATTATTGCTTAATTTTTTAAAATTATTATTTTACTACAATTGGTATTATTTGTTATAAATTTTAATACTATAAAATAATTAAAATTACCTTACTCTTATTAATTAGCATGCTAAGGTAATAATACTTTACGATGAATTGATAGACAACTCATTTTTTTCCATTTATATATTTTCATGTATTACTTTAAGTGACTTCAATTTCAAAGAGTATATTTAAATCATTTCAAAAGTTTTTTTTTTCTTTATAATTATTCTAAGTAAAATAAATTCGATTAATTAGGCAGTGAAAATATTTGCGAATTTTTAAAGAATAAATTTATAATTAAATTAAATATCAAACATTTTACAAAATTCTGCTCAAATTCATATTTACATTTAAAACCTTATCAAAATATTTAAACGCCATTAAATAAATTTAAATGTTGTAAAAATAATACATATGAATTAATATGAACTGCATAAAGATAAGAGCAATACATCAAAATATATTAATTTAATTAATTAATTTAAATATTGAGAATTATACGATCTTATCAATAATGGCAATTTCTAATTTATCATTTCAAATTTAATACTATTAAACTTTTCACTTTTCATTATGCTTTATTTTTAAAACAAATTAAAATTAACGTTTCGTTCAAAAAAAAAAAAAAAAAAAAAGGAAAAAATAAAACGCTCTAATAATTAGGAATAGTTAAAATTCATATTATCTATTCTATCAATATTAATTGCAATTATTTATCACCATGCTTTCTTATCAGCACCAAAGATATCTTGATTAACACCAGCTAATGTTTGATAATTTGGATCAAATGTTCCAGCCTATAATGATAAATTCATTTATACATTTTATTTTTATCTGCTTCTCATATATAAATATAATTAATTATTTTCAGCAATAATAAATTTTAAATATTATATCTTTTTTGATTTTATAGTACATTCGCCAGATAGTAAATCTTAAGAACTGTAAAACTGCAAAAAGTTGATATCATTTGATAATCAAATACAATAGCAAATCATATTCCATCTGATAATATTACCGGATAGCAAAACGGATTTTAACTACCGGTTGCTCATCCTGTCTTTATATCACTTTTTTTTTATCATTTCTTATCAAATATAAATTAGACAACGGTCTCACTTCATAATAATTAGTTATAATAATAATAATAATAATATTAATATTAATAATATTAAATAACAATACTAATAATAATGATATGCTTTTTTATCTTTCTGATTAGATCTTACAAGCACCAAAGATATTTTGATTACCAGCAGTTAATGTTTAATAATTTTGATCAAATATTCTAACCCATATGTAATTTGTAACTATAAAATACCTTCCAACTATCAAATTATTCCAAATTATCAAAAATAATAGAAATATCATTAAAAAATGAATATAGCAATTTTTCTTTAATTTAATTATTTTTAAAAATTAAAAAAAAAAAATGTTCCTATTCGAAAATCTATTTTTTTGTTTTTGTTTCAGATTGTTTTTTTCTTTCTACTTTATCTTATTGTAATCAAACTAATGTCAAAATTAGAAAAAATTCTTTTTTTATTAACTAATTAATTAATTAGTTAGCAAAATGATGCTTGGCACTAAAAGTAGAGAAATAATTAATTGGTTAGTTTAATTATTAAATTTAATAAATTCAATCAAAAACATTTTCTTAACCTTTCCTGCTGGTGTACTAGGTGCACGAATAGGTGTAGGCGATTCACCTTTCTTATCTGCGCCAAAAATATCACCGCCAACAGCAGCTAATGTCTAAAATAAAATTCTTTATTCTTAGCAAATTAAAGTGTGTATTTGAAATTTGCTAAAATTTAAAAAATTTCTTTAAAGAAATTTAAATTTGTTTGTATTCTATCACATTTAGAATTAATATTTAGAATTATTACCTGATAATTTGGATCAAATGTACCAGCTACAGCACCTTGATTTGCTGGTTTGCTTAGATTTACACCGCCACCTGCTTTATCCTCGCCAAATATATCTGCGCCTACAGCGGCCAAAGTCTAATTTTGTATAAAAATTTAATAAAATCAAAAAATTCGAATTGAAATATTTTTAACGAAAAATCTAACCAAATATATTGATCAATTTGAAAACAAAATTTTTATTTAAGCGTTAAATTTAGTAATGCATAAATAATTTAAAATGATGAATTTGCATTTAAAAATTTTAAGGATGGAAAAAATTGTGAAATTAGAAATTTCTTTCTTCTCACTTTTACAGATTTTTTGAAATAGTTCAACAACAATAATTTGTTTTATCTGTAAGATTAAAGATTAAATTTTTTTTTTTGAAAAAAAACTTTTTTTTTTTAAATTACCTGATAATTTGGATCATGTGTACCAACCATTCCACCTTGTGTTGGTACCTTTGGTAGAATTACTGGTGATGGGCTAAAACCACCAGCTATTTGCTTATCGCCTCCAAATATATCAGCACCAATACCAGCTAAGGTCTGAATAGCTTTTCTTTCTTTAAAAAAAAAAAAAAACTTTATAAATTAAAATATTATTGATAAAAAGTGATAAAATGAGAATGTCAAAATTAAAATAAAATATTTTAATAAAAATTTTATCTCCTAATAATATTGATAACTGTATGATTCATTGCTAATTATAATAAATTATTAAAGCTAATAAATTCATAATACAAATAAAAATGCAATTAATAGAATTTCTTAAAATAAAAAAAAAAAAAACGAAAACTTATATTTCATTTGTGCCAGATTTTTCCTTTTGCATTCAAAATTTTTTTCCTCTTTCAAATTTAATCAAAGCTAATAATTCGATTCTTATTTAATTTAGTTTTAATTCAATTTAAAATTAGTTTTTATTCAATTTTTTTAAAATTTAATTAAAAAAATTTTTTCCTCAAAATTATATTAGCTTAGTCAATATTTTTTTCTTTTTTTATCAAATGAAATTACTATTTGATAGTTTATTAAAATTAAATTAAAGAAAAAAAAAAGATTAAAGTACTACTTGATAATTTGGATCATGTGTACCAGCTAATCCACCTTCAGTTGGCCGTTTTGGTGCTTGAGCAGGTACAACAGCAGCAGCAGCTTTTTGAATTTTAGGCCTCGGTTTTGCTATAAATTTTTTTTTTTTTTTTTTACAAAAAAAAAGAAAACAAATTTATTTCTTTTTTTTTTTAAACAACTTAATAATTTTAGTAATTTACTAACTTATTAGCATTGTTTCATTCAAATTCTCTTCATTATCTTCTATAACTGATTTCTTTTTCTTCTTTTTCTTCTTCTTCTTCTTTTTCTGCTCAAACATTTATTCAGTTATATATGATTTGAATAATTTTACAAATTTTATCCTTAGAAATTTACAATACTGTAATTTTTTTTTAAAAAAAAAATTTGCAAAAATTTCATAGTTCTATGATTTTTTTTTGCTGATATTTGCGTATAAATTATACTTACAATATGCTTATTTACCTTTCATTATTACAATATTTTGTTTATTCAATATTAATCAGTGATAAAAAAATGCCTTAATTATAATATTATTAAGTTAAAATTTATCAGTTTAATCAAATTTATTCAATTAAAATTTATCAATTTAATCAAATTATGGCACAAATGAGTAAGAACTTTAAATTGAATTAAAATCATTCATTTCTTTTTTTTAAAAAAAAATTAATTATTAGCTTATTTTGTTATCAATTTAGTCAAATTGTAATGTAAATGAATAAAAGCTTTAAAGTGAATAAAAAAATAAAAATTGAAATTATTCATTGAAAAAAAAAACAAAAAATAATAAATTATTAACTTACTTTACGGCAACAACAACACATTGGCAAAGTATATGTTATCACTGGCAAAATTTGAAACGTAAGATATGTAATAATAATTAATAAAACGGGAAATTCGAGTAGGAATGACATTGTGGTAAATGTTGCATTTATCATTTCTAAAAATTTTTTTTTTCTTTTTTTCATAAATTTCCAATAACTTTTTTCTTTTTTTCTTTTTCTTTCTCCCTCTCTCTCTTTTTTCTACTTCTATTAACCAAAATTTGTATAATTTTGATTATCTAAAAATGCGAAAAATTTTTTTGGAGTATTGGATGTAATTATTAAAAGAAACTAATGTTATGTTATTATACCAGTCTAATTTACAATGGTTTATATTAATATTCTAACTTAATTTAGTTATTATTAAGATTAATACTGTTATTCTAATCTTAATTTAACTATGATAAAAAATTAATAATTGCTATTTTAGCTATATTTATAGGCAAATATTTATAATTATGATTTGTTCAATTTTCCAATTTGCAATATTTATATTATCCAAAGAGAATCCATACAGATTATCCAGTTTTGATCAAAAAAAAAGTTATAAAAAAAATCAAAATAATCACTAAATTAACTAAATAAATGGATTTGAGTAAAAACTTTTTAAGCAACAAAAAAATTGTTAGATTAAGATAGTTGGTAATTTCAGTCAGCTTCAACTAGCTTTAATTAAATTAATTGAAGTAATCTTAATTAAGGTAGCTTTAAATTTAAACTAGATTTAACTTTAAATTTAATTGAAGTAGGCTCAATTAAATCATTTCATTCATTTCAGTGAATTTAATTTTATAAAAAAAAGAAAAGCATAGATGAATAAAATAGATTAATTCAGACTGAAAATTTTGCGTTAATTAATTTTGGAGCTAAAAATAAATTTCAAACATCGTAATAGTCATTTTCTTTTTTTAAATGATTCATTCATAGCGGTAGAATTTAAAGATATTTTAGAAATGAACTTTTTTTTTCAGGCTGATATTTATGATACAACCATCCACTAAACAAGAAGAAAATTCAAAATAATTCAATGCAAATTGTAAATGAAAGTTTATATTTGAATTTTTTTTTTTGTTTTAATTAATTTTCTATTGCTTTTTCTATTTTGCAAATATGAATAAATTAATGTATTGTAAAATTTGAGAATTATTAAATGAAACAATAAAAAGACATTAAAGATTTCTTTTTAGATTAACATATGAATAAAATTAGTTGGAAATACTTTCTCTTTTACATTTGAATATTTCTAATTTATTAATCTAATAATTGTTTTAACAAAGGTTTTATTAATTAGCCACAATTAGTCATCATTTAATAATATTATAACTATAATTAATAAGCCAAGAATTTTTTTAATACACAATAATATAATAATTATAATTAATAAGCCAAGAACTCAATTAACGGATTTCCGGATCGAAACATCCAAGCAATTCGGAATGCTATGCCATTGACGTAGTAAGTTGATGTAATTCTAAACTTTATTTACAGCGCTTAGATGCTACAACATACTAGAAAGCTATTATAAACAGTATGTTTCCCAAAAAGAAAACACACCTCCAGTAGATTATGTGTAAGATAATATTACATTGAGAAATACAGTGATGCTAGATTGGTGTGAGGATAGTGTAGTTTGGGGAGAGGGTGCAGAGATTGCGTGATTTCTTTGAAATATTGTGTCGTATATAGAAGCTGAAAAGAATTATAGATAACGATGTTGTGGAGTGTTTTGCATTCACCAGAAGTAGAAGTGTATTGTGCTAGAAGAGACGGCAGAGATTGATAAAGTTAGTGATGATTTTAAGTTTGCTTTTATATTAATTTCAATTAAATTTCATTCTTTGCTTCATTTTATTCTATTCTTTTTTTCTTGTTTTATTTTAAAAAAAGAATAGAGGAAATTATTTTTATATGATAATAATTGACATTGTGTTGTATGCTTATATTATTTATTTATTTTATTTTATTAGATTGAAATATTTGTAAATATTTTGCTAATGTTTAGCAATTTTCTTGAAAAATTTTAAAGTTAGCTTCTAGAAATTTAAAACATGGGGAAATAAAAGCATCATGTTGATTTAGAGAAAAATAAATCCTTTAATGTTCATTTGATGAAATCGATTATTGTGCAATTGCTACATTAACTATATTATGTAAGATTTGAACTACAAATCAGTTAAGAAACAGTTTATTATTACGGATGTTTTTTTTTTTCTTGTTATTTACGACTTTTAACAGACTGACATGTTTAATATTTTATTTTATAGTTTGTTTGACTACGAAGAAAAAAAAGTAGAGAAATGGTTTGTTAACGAAACAGATTTGAAATGGCACATTGGTTTCATCGAAATCCGATCAAAGCAACAGAACATGTAGATTTTCAGCTCAAAGCAATCCTTACCACTTCACAAGCATCGAAAATTTGCAAGTATGTTTTCAATTTTAAATTATTTTTAGTTTCTAATTCTTTATTTTTGTAATGATTTAGTATGATATTTATTAATATGCGGCCATTCAGTTCTATCACTTTAACTTGTAAGGCTATCCAAAAACTCGATATTTGATATTTAAATACAATTAGGTATTGATTGTAATGCATTTTTGTATTTATAGGTAAAAAATTTTGAAAACTGAGATCTTCGTACATCTTACTTATTGTGTTCATTGCAGTGAGCTCCGATTAAGGCGTAGTCATCTTTTGGAGCATTTCAAGAGTGCTAGTAATGATATGAGTGTATTAGAAGATGACTTCAAGCAGTATCTATCACTATTTAGTGGTTTTGTATTTGCCATTGATCATGATAAAGTTACCGATATGAAAACTAGCAAACTTGCCGCACTTCTTCGATTTCGATGGAGTAATTCGATGCTTGGTATAGTAGCAACGTAAGTATGTAATTCTTAATCATTAATTATTAAACTAAAATTTGCTTTATTTATTTTAGTACAAAATGTCTTACAACTAGATGATAGTAATAGATAATGATGTAATAATTTCAGTGAAGTTAGTGACAGTTGGTATGAAGTGCTAAATATGTGTGTAAATATGGCATTATGGCTGTCGAAACATGCAGCATGGATTGCGGCAAAAGATGAAGTATTTGAAGGTGATGCTAAAAAAGCACATACTTGTTTACGACGTGCTGCTGGAATATTGATTTATGTACGCGAAAATACTGGTATCTTTTTTGAAATAAATTGCATACTTTTTTTTTTTTTTTTTTTTCTAAGATTCTGAGAGTGTATTAAACAAGAAATAAGTAGAGAATTATAATGGCTTGATGGCTTTGAATTATTTGACTAACTTTGTAAGTTAGTCATTTCATTTCAGATAGAGTAACAGGATTAACTTCATTCCCGGGTTCTGATTTTGATCAAGCAGTACTTACCGCATACATCAATCAGTTCACAGCTGAAGCGCAAGAAATTACTATGGCACGTGCTATCGAATTAAAACATAGTCCTAGCTTAATTACAGCATTGGCTTATGAGACAAGCCATTTGTTCAATCAAGCAGGTTAGTAATGAAGAAAACTTGCGAATGTTTTCTTGTTTATTCCTCGAGTCAACTAACTCTTTAACTTTTTTTATTTGATTCGTTATACTAATAGAAGTGAAGTTTGATATATTTGCCGTCACATTTCATCCATTTAATGACAATTAAACACAAGCGCTATATTTTGTTTCTTAGTAAACGTTCAATCCGAATTATTTTTTGACTTAATAAGCAATCTTTTTACATTTACTAAATTAATAAAGAACTCGTGAAATTTCACTGAAATTTTACTCTATTTAGATGAAAGTCTTGGAAAATTGGATCAATCATTGTTTAGAAAGTGGCGTTTTTATCTTCAATTAAAATCGCAAATATATACAGCATATGCTTATGCTTTTTTGGGTGAAAATCTTCTATCTCAAAATAAATGTGGCGATGCAGTAAGAGCATGCAGAGAGGGTGTTTCATGTTTTGATGTTGCAATCGATTTTGCTGAAAAGTATCGTAAGGCTAATGGACCAGGTAGCGAAAATTTTTTTCTTCACTAATTATTAAAGAGCAGAAATTTGACTGCATATGAAACTAAATAAGTAATTGGTATAAAATATTCCAAAAAGAAAAAAAAATATCGAAAAGTTTTTTAGGAGTTCTTTTTTTAGAGGTTTTTAGAAATCAATGATTTTTTTTTTTTTTTTAAAGGAATCACTGTAAAACCTGATTCGCATTTGTTTTTCCGCCGTATTCGACCACTACTTGAACGACATATGGAAAAAGCTGAACGTGAAAATGGTTTTATATATCATCAGAAGGTACCGGATATATGTCCAGAACTCGAAAGAAAACCAACTTTTGGTTTGGTTCAAGCGGAGCCATTCACAATTCCAAGCATTAGTCCGGTAATCGATTGTTATCATTCAGTTTTAATTTCTTAAATTTGCACTTCTTTGTGAGGGTTTTTTTTTTTTTTCTCTTATAGTTGTGGACATCAATTGCTTACGGAGCATTTGATATATCAAAAGCAAAAATGCCAGATTTTTCAAAAGTGAAAAAAAGCAGTAAATCATTGCCACCTGTACAGGAAGAGAAAGTCTACGAAACGGAACATGATCCAAGCAGTCTAAGTGGTTGTATAATTTCATGAATTTTTTTAGAAGGTAGCATTCAGTGTAATTGTATCTCTTTTTTATTGTATGATGATGATGCCTTTTTTTTTTTTCTAGGCGTTAATTTGAATCTAATTTTCGTCTAGAATTCAAGTATCAATTTACTTGCCTTCAGATTTTGTTACATATGTTTGATCTGTCTTACTTTGGAAGTTCAGAATAGACAATAAGAAGTCTTTAAACTTTTTCACTGCTTCACCGGTTGATCTGGAAATGGAATCATGGGATTGTTGTTAAATTGGATGAAAAGATATTGGAATTCCGGAGAGGAAGAAATGTAGATTTTTGAGAGAAATTTCTTTGAAACTTTAATATATTTGAAACTTTGAAAGTTACAACCGGTTATTTTATTAAAAATTCAGAAGTGGTAACTATCGCTATCTTTTTAAGTCATATGGTTCACTGTTTTCAGTTGTTTTTCTTTTTTTCCATTCCTGAATATTTTTATATCCTAGTGATTATATAAAAGTGAAGTGTAAAATTTATTTGAAGGAATAACCAAGATGGATCTTGATGCTTGTTAGGAAATAGTACCGTCTGGACAATTTATTGAGTCTTGTTTTTTTAAAACTAGTCAGTTTCAACCTAGAATTCTTAATCGGTCGATTTATATATATATATATATATTTTTTTTTTATGAAATTCATCTACCTTGAATTTATGTACATTACCTATAGGTTTCTTGTGCAGAAGATCGTGTAAATTGATAGATTTTGGACATTCTTCTTAATTTTTAAAAGAACCTTTAAATTCCAACTTTTTTTCTCAGAATTTTTGCGGTGATTGGTCTTTTATAACTGAATAATGAAGTGTTTTCTTTGTAAGAAAATTTTTACTATTAATAAAGAACTCATTCCGTCACTGAAGTATTTCACTAAACATTTTTTAACTAAAAAAGAAGATTTATATATATTTATAGTGAAGTTATCATCTTTCTCTCAATCTTTACCGATGAATTTAGATTTTAACAGTTAAGACTTTATTTTAAAAAAATTTGTTAGAATCCAAGTCTTATCACACAGACGATGTAACTTTTTCTTCATCTAATTTCTAATATGGTCTGCAATTTCAATGGGATTTCTAAAAAGTTTACCGGAAAAAAAAAAATGTTTTTTTAAGTTAAGACATGCTATGTGAAAAGCTTATGAGTTAGTTTAGATTCTATAATTGTAAAAGCATTAAAAATGTTTCAGCATATTTCGTGAAATTTCTAAGAATAAACTTTGTTAAAATAATTAAGTTTTAATTTCATTAATTAGCATTAATGAATATTCAAGGTCAAATTTTGTCATAATACGAATTTATTAAGAATCAATTTATCAAATTGTCGTCACTTTACCCGCTTATATATTAATTATATTTGTGTTCACTAATTTATAAATCAACTGACAAATTATATGCTCTTTTTGAGGATATTTTATCAATATTTTATTGTACTGCCATAAATTTAATGTAATTCAATTAATGCTAATTAAATTTATGAAATAGTAACAACAGCAATAAGCAAATAATTCATTAAATTGACAAACTTTTTTGTTTTATTCTTATTAATAATGTGACAAATTAAAATTTCATTTTCTATTACACTTCAATTCATCTCATTTTACAAATTATAGTGAAAATATTAAAATTTAAAATTATTACTGTAACAATTTCATATTGCTATATAAAGTCTTTTTTTCTGTCTTAAAATTTTGTTTGAAAAAAAAAACAATTTTTAAATTATAGTTATTAATTAGTAATTTAGTAATTAAAAGACTGTAACTTTTGCTTTTTCTGTTTTATTATTAAAAAAGTTTTGTGAAAAAAACAAATACCAAAATTATTTCTGAAATTTATGATGAGAAAATTCTCATTATAAAATACAAATTATAACGACATTTTCTTATTTTAGTCCTTAATTTCTTTTTTTTTTTTTTTTTTTGTATTCATCAATTATTTAAATGCTTTCTTCTTCATTTGAAATTTTTGAAATCAAAATATTTTTTGCTTGAAATTTTACTAATAAACTAAAAATAATAATAAAAAATTCCAATTAGTAAATTAATTTTTTGTTCATGTTCGCCTGATTTATATATATGAAAAGAATATGTAAAGAAATTGAAGAAATTATTGTTCATTGAGAAAAATTTGATAATTATATATTATCTCATAGGTCTTCCTAAACCATTGCTTTCTTCGAGAAATCTCGACTTAAAAAATACACTATTAATCTCCAAGAAATCTCGTCTTGAAAAATGCACCAGTAATCTCCGAGAACTTTCCCAAGAAATCTAGACATAAAAAATGTGCTGGTAAACTCCGAGAAGTTTTCAGGAATCTCGACTTGAAAAATGCACCAGTAATCTCCGAGAACTTTTCTGTGTAATGTCAACATAAAAATGCACTTGTGATCTTCGACAAATTATTTCTGTCGACAAATTCAACAGAAAAAAAAAAATTGTTCGAGAAATCTCGACCTAAAAAATGGACCAGCAATCATTGTTTACTGATATGTTTGCAATTAGAACTTTATAAATTACGGCCAAATGTTGTATTTAAAAAATGTGCCTAGTAAATTATTGAAAGATTGGTGGCTAGCAAAAAAAAAAGTAAACAATTTTCATCATAAATTTTCAAGTTTTTCAATATTGAAAAACGAATAAAATTTAGTAATATTTTATTATTTTAATCAACAAAAATCTATTACAAACATATTTGTTGCAAAATTGAAATTAAAAATTGGAAAATGATTAGTTATTGTTGTATTAGTCGCATTTAATTAAGTGTTGATAAAAATCAAAATAATCCCTGTGCATATGTCATTTGCGCCAATTGTATAAAACAATTGGCGCAAATGATCGAATGGAAATGAGAAATAAATGAAAGAAAAGTGACAAATTAATCATTTTTAACAAAAATAACATTTAATATCTTTGCATTCTAACAGATTTGTAATCAAAATTAAAATTATTCTCTCTCTCCCTCCCTCTCTCTCTCTCTCTCTCTCACAAGCCAAATTCAAAATCATTCTTTCGATGTTTATTTTCATAGAAAATTTAAATTCAAAATTTTAACTCATTCATTCAGTTTTCAATTTTCATTATTCCTATAAAAAAGAAAACATAATTTGAACAGATCAAATGATCAATATATTCAAATTTTTGAACAGATCAAGTGATCAATTTAGCATTAAAAATATTTCCTATATATTCTTTTCTTTTTTTTTTCAACTTTGTAAGGATAAACTTTGTCAAAGTAATTAGGTTTTAATTTCATTAATTAGCACTAATGAGTATTCAAATTAAATTTACCTCTAAAAAGGTATTGTATAGATTTGAAAAAAATTTGATCCATATCGATTAACTCTAACAATTATACTTTTCTAAACAATTTCGTCAAAATTCGGTCATATAATTTAAACAATTTTCAAAATTCAATCATATTTAAATAAAAAAAAAAAACATAAATATAATACTTTTTTTCTCCTTCGAAAACTTTTTAATAAATATACATTAAATTAAAATAACATTGAGATTAAAAATAAATTCAAATCATAAAGGCTAAAAATAAGAGAGTAAATAAAACTAAAAAGATGTATGAAAAAGATACTTTCGTCTTTTGTTTAGAATAAATAATCATGATTAAATTCATAATTAAAATAAACAAATGAGAAAAATGAAAAAGAAAAAAAAAACAAAGGAAAGAATTTTATGGATAAATTTAATTATATCTAAAAATCTATAATAAATGAATAGCAGAATGAAAGCGAAAAAAAAAAAAAAAACGAAACAGAAAAAAAATTTGAATAAATTTAATTACATTGACGATAAACAAATGAAAAGAAAGAATATGTGGAAGAGAAACAAAGAGAGAAGAAAGAATAGAAAAATTAAATGAAATTTAATTACAACAGAAACAGACAAATAAATGAGAAATTATATTGAAATAGCATTTCACTAAGACTTATAAATACTTGAAAAATTCATTTTTATAAATGAATTTTTCAAGTAATAAAATCCATTTCAAATCATTCAGTTTCTCTTTCTTCTTTTTCATTGATTTATTTTTCATTGATTTAATTGAAATTAATTTTGTATTGAAAATTTTATATATAATAGTTAGAAATAAATGTTTTACTCGTTTAATATTGAATACAAAAATTTGACATTTGAAATTTATTAAGTTAAAAACTTGTAAAAATATAATGATAAATAATAAAATAATGATAATAAACAATAATAAAAATAATAAATAATAATAAAAATAATGACAATAACAATAATAATAATTATACATCATTATTACTATCATCAATCTGTTATCATTATTATTATTATTATTATTATATTATTAATGCAGCTATTATTAATACATTAGTAATTATTACCATTTATTATCATATTATTACTATTATTATTATTATTATTATTATTATTATTATTATTATTATTATTATTATTATTATTATTATTATTATTATTATTATTATTATTATTATTATTATTATTATTATTATTATTATTATATTAATGCAGCTATTATTAATACATTAGTAATTATTACCATTTATTATCATATTATTACTATTATTATTATTATTATTATTATTATTATTATTATTATTATTATTATTATTATTATTATTATTATTATTATTATTATTATTATTATTATTATTATTATTATTATTATATTAATGCAGCTATTATTAATACATTAGTAATTATTACCATTTATTATCATATTATTACTATTATTATTATTATTATTATTATTATTATTATTAT